CTGCGCATGCTCGAGCATGCACAGTACGGCCAGGACCCCTATTCGGCTAGCTGAGTCAGATTAGATAATCTGATTTGGCTTTCGGCATGCCCAAATAATGCTGAAGAGGCATTATTCAGGTTTTTTTCCAGTTCATCCAAACTGAATGCACATCCCTCGTATACATATGCATTATCATCTATATATGTCAAAATGCTGTTAAGCAGCTGCATCCATTTCCTTTTCAGTAGCCACACCTTTGAACCATTGGATAAGAATAGTCAGGGGAAAATAATAATTCTGTTTTTTGTAATATTGGGGTGAGCAATTATAGTTCACATTCCATTACAATACGTGGATTGGCTCATTTGCTTGGGTCATCTCCTTTGAAAGTGCTTTTAGTGCAGTTGCATCTTCTTTATTCCTGCACTCTCTGGTTATGTTCTCTGTGTTAAGTGAGTTAATATTTTAGACATTTATATTTGTAAAATCTCAAGGCAGAAGACTGGAGGACAGACTGATATGATGAACTGATTAAGAGTATATACTAGGACTGGCGAAACCTGAGTTCAAACCCCCCACTTGCTGGGTGCCACGCTGTCTTTGTTATGAAGATAAAATGGAGGAGTGGTGGTGAGCAGTGTACACTACTCTGAGCTCCTTAAAGAAACAATAAAAAGTGGCATACAGCTGTGAGCTAATAGCTAAACGAAGCCTTCAGTTTCAGAGGCAATACACCTCTAAGTACCAAGGAATAAACATTTTCATCTTCACCTGCTCTCAAGCTTTCTGTGGTATAGCTAGTTACCATTATAAACCGATTGCCACAACTTTGGTATGATGCAGCACGGTCGTTCTTGATCTTTTGCTTACTTTCAGCCATGTGATTCTTTGACACAGACCATAGTCCAGCAATGATCCATTTATTGAATTTTAGTGGGTGCTTTCCCCCAAGACAGCCAACCGTCACACAGAATAATCCATTCTGACCTGGGTTTAGTTTCTTAGTTACTACTGGCTGTTCAAGATATTTTGCTGCCTGGGACAGAACACAGATAGCTCCCAGGGCCTTTTCAGGTTTAGAAAGTAGTGCCAAGTTGAAAGGCCATTAGCCCATGTGCCATAATCTTGATGAAACTTGGGCCCCTGCAGCCCTGGGAATGAATTGCCAATCAAAAGTCCTTGTAGTGGACCCAGAAAGATGCAAGGGCATGCATAGAATGTAGTGGTGAAGCTAAGAGAATCCAAATAAGGAGATAAGTCCCATTCTTCTTTTCCCTCCCACAAAGTGGCAGGCTTGGGGGAGTAGGCTCCCCTCTCCCCCCTTGCAATTTAGAGGAAATAGGCAAAACAGAGCAGCAACAGGCTAACTAGGCACTTAGAAAGGGGGGAGTTCAGGAATAGCTCAGAGCTTTGCTCAGTCTCAGATAACTAGTGGCTGTCCTCTCCCTCCTGAGGCACTGCCCATTGTTGTTGCTGGCTACAAACAGAAAAATAAAAAAAACTCTCCCAGGAATGCACCCAGGCAGGAGGCTGTTGTTTGCCCCCTCTCCAAAAACAATACCAGAAGAAACAAGATGAGGAGCAAGAAGACATCATGTTGCTTCTTAAGGGCTACTGTGAGGTCATCCACAGGCCCCGTTCATGCGGAGAAGTTGCCACGCTGAAGACACGGATGATAGGCGGATTTTCTGGGCGCAATCACACCGCAACATCTGGGAAGCGTAGTGCACCCGTGGCTAACCCGTGGCTTTCCGTTGAAGATGCGGAGTAAAAAACCACCACTTACAATGTACTAGTTTCCGGAAAATGCGGGGCAAGGGTGGGCGTCTTATCACGTTTCCGCTGGAAACCCATGGCATCCAGTGCCCGCCCATGTCCCGTTACAAACTGGATGTTGTTTTTTTAATGTCTCCACAGGATGCGCACAAACGATCATGTACATGCGCAAACTTCAGTGAGACAAAAAAAATCCCGTTTGCCACGGAAGCGGTGTGGTGTGATTGCCGGTGTGATCGCGCCGTGCCGCTTCTTTGCCATGCTGCAGACTAGCCGTGTGATGGGCACCTAACGGCCTAACCACGGGACCTCGACGGGACATCTGATCGGGCTGCCGTGTGTTACTTTGTTCCGGGGCAAACAGCCACGCTCCCCCCACCCAGCATTCTCCGGGTCGTGTGACCGGGGCCACATTTCTCCTCCAAGATGGCTCTAAAAAACCAAGGAGACAAGCAATACATGGTAAAGCAAACCAGAAGAGAGACTGATAGGCCTAGAACCTTGCAAGGATCAACACAACAGACCACAACCTTACTGCTACTTACCCAGAAAAGTTACAGTGCAGCCCTAAAGAGAGTTACACTTTTCTAAGCCCATTGACTTCAATGGAGTTAGGAGGGTGTAACTCTGCTTAGAATTGCATTGTTACCAACTTGAGATACATTATGGTCTCAAACTGAGACCAGTTTGGGATCCCAGACTAGGTGGCTAGGATAGAGTGCATGCTATTCATGGTATGACCTAGGTAGGTTGTGATATGCTTCCATGTTATTCCATAGGAAGGAGGGGTGGTGTTAGCGTTTTCCCCAATGTTTAATACTTGAAGAAGCCCTTACTTTCTTTTTTTTAGGCCACAAACCACTGTAACCAAGTCTCCCGCGTCTGAAAACAAAAATTAGAATGTTACTTTGAATGGACTGGTGTGGTTGTTGTTTTTTTAATTGTGGTTCTTCTCCCCCCTCCCTTTGGCATGCTTCCCTTATAACAAACATTTTTTTAAAGGCACTTTATTGCTTGAGGGTAAAATGACACCTTTTACTTTCAAGATGATACATTCCTAACACATTTCTTTGAAGAACTGGAAATGGTGAAAAATCTGGGGAGATAATTCTTGGTAAAGTCTTAGAATCAGTGTATTTGACTCTTGATGTTTAAACAAAATGCACGGGGAGGGTGTCTTACCAACCTAGAGGGTTTTTTTAAAAAAGGGTTTCTACTTAAAGGTCTGTGCCAGAGCTACAGTACTTATACATTTTCGAAATGTGTTTTAAGCAATAAGTTGTACAACATTTTTAGAACATGTGTTAAGCTATTTCTCTAAGAATGAAGCTCTTAACAAAACATAAGCACTCTGCATGAGATCTTAGCAGCAAAGTGCTTAAAAGATAAAGTAAGAATTGGTACCATGGGAAGAACACCAGCTGTAGTGCACACAGGTCCATTATGAGAAGTATGGTAGTGGGTAGGGAGAAAATGATTTAATCAAGAGTAAAACCAATTTTATTATAAGGGCACGCAGGGGGTGTGGCACCATAGTGAGAGGGACATTTCAAAATATCTGACAGATTTCAACAATGTGAAACCCACCCTGTTCTTTAAAGTGACAGCAAACCCCACCAGGTCTCTCTTTTTGATGCTATTGTGAGCAGATATCTGTGTAGAAACTGGCCTTCTAAAACACTGTCTGTCTATTTTCTACGGTGTGTGGGGAAAAATAAAAGACTAGTTGTTGAAATACAATCAATCAAATTTGATCTTGGCGTTTTAAGAAAAGTCCCTTCTAATTCAATTTCCAAAGTGAATTGTTTTTATGATGGTGAAAAGGCTTTTTTGGGGTGGGGGGGGCAAAAAAAGGAAACTGATGCAAGTATGCTTTTTACTCACAACTGCAACCTTTTAATGTAAATTAAGAGAAAGGCAGTAATTCACAAAAAATAAATTATAGTCAACATACCCCATAATGCTTGTATACTTTGTAGCTAAATCTATATTCTTCCTTGATAGCTCTCGTCAGAAAAAATACATATTAGAAAAATTGTAATCATGGTATGTAGTTTATTTTTTCATTACGTTTTTTCCAGGTAAACAGATTGCAAGGATTGGCATTAGCAGTGGCTAGGCAAAATAAACATAAGGTACAAACAAAAGTAATTCAGTTGGATTGGGGGATTCCCCCCCCCTTCCAGTTTTGTGTTTAAAATTTCTCTGAAGTGATACCATCCATTTAGGAATTAAATCTGTTTTTTGGAACAGGTTCTGCAGAGAGCTAGACTTCTTTTCCATTCTGAAGTGACAGGCATTTTCACTTTCTTAGAGTTTTGTCAAGTCTGTGATTCTGCAGTTTATCATAGCCTACTAATAATAATGCCAGATGTTTCTAATAACTATTCAAAGAAAAGCAAAGTAATAATCACCCAATCTTTTTATTAGATTTTTTTTTTTTGCATTCTTCCTACTTTTATATTTAAATTTCCCAGCTCAGTCAAGCTTCAGGGGGGGAAATCAGTTTTGCAAACACTTGTGATTTGTCTTTAGTGTGTTATCATTTTCGACAGCTTTGCATAGCCTAGGTAGGCCAACAGGGGTCTGTCTAATATTGTTGCTGGGCAAATCTTCCTCTCAGAGTTGAAAACCAAATAAACTATTTTGAAGCAGTAAGGAGGAATTAATATCTCCCCTCACCCCTACAGTATTGAATTCCTCACTGACATTACATTCAGGCAAAAAAAAGCAGAAAAGTGTTGTCCGTTATTCCCTTGTACACAGGAAGGCTAACACATGTAAAGCAATAGCTCATTTTGTATTGCCATGTTTAGCATATGTCTCATGTTGGCTCCGCAAGGCCTTTAGGCCCATCCCTTGAGCTGGTCATCATTGACAACTCTTAGCCCCTCTGCCTCGAAACAAAATAGCTTTGAATAATGTCAAGCGCTGATGCTAATTTTTTTCTACTGATGCATTATGGGAATAAATGTATCTGACATACTGTGTCAATGCTACTGTCTCTTTGTGCCTCTTGCTTTTTGGTTAGCTGCATTCCTACAGATGGTATTCCATTGAAAATGTTCTCTTCCTACAGAAAAGAAAAAGAGGGGGGGGAACCCATGCACAGCACCAAACCTCTAGGTGCAGAAGGCTGTTAACGGTTGCTGATGATAGTAGGCAAACATTAACATAATAATTAGTGTCTTGTAATTGTTTCATTAAAACCAGTTGTTCCATTTCTCCTCGTGTTTTCCCAGAAGAGAAGCTGAATTTGGACGACAGCCAGTGGGAGGACATCCACGTTGTCACCGGAGCACTCAAGATGTTTTTCAGAGAGCTGCCTGAACCACTGTTCCCATACTGCTTCTTTGAACAGTTTGTGAAGGCAATAAGTAAGTACATCACATACAGTACCAGTTAATTAAATAGCCTATGTGCTTTTTTTAAAGCCTCCAAATTGTAGAGAATACAGCCCAAATGTTGCTGTACCTGCTTCTGCCCTTTTAACTTTCTTATTCCTGTTTCTTCCACTTTTGTCTATTAAATTGTCTACTGTAGCAGAGATAAATACACTGCGAAAAGTAATACTGTATTTGTATTGTATCCCAATTAGATATATTGTGTTCATCATTCATGCACCCAAAACATAATACTGTTAGGCAGGATTAATATTTATAATATAGAGGACTGTGTGTTCATGTCTTTTAAGGGGGGAGTGAGAATTGAAATTGTGTGTGTGTGATATTATTACAGAGCAGGAAAGGTAGGTTTACCACAATCCCAAATTCAGATATTTATATTTTGATCCCAATCATGTAATGCATATATGTTCATAACATGGTCCTTCTAAATTCTCTTCTTTTTTATTTTTTTGCCAACTTGGGGATGCCAACTTTTCAGCCAGACACTGCAGCTGTGTGTTTAACATCGTCTTGATTGGCAGACAATAGCAGGTGTTAACATTCATGCTTTGAAAAACTTGATCTGCTGTGCTGATTTCTGTGAATCAAGCTGTTTATAAAAGGCACAAGAGCAGGCCAGGTTGTTTTCTTCTGATCAGTTGTCACACATACTGTGGGATGACAAGCACTTCAAAACAGCAATACAACTTTCAGGATAGATGCCATGCTTCCTAGAGATCTTTTGCTCAGTTGTGACTATTGGGGGTGGGGAGACTCTTACCAGCAAAGAGGCTAATTTCACTTTTACTTTTTTATATAAAAAAAACTTTTAAAAAATGAAAACTTGCAAGCCTAGCAGGAGCTTAATTAAAGTCCAATAGAGAAAAATCTCCAGGAAAAACAATAAAGCACTTAGGGATCTGTTCTCCGATTGATGCGCATGCATTATTGCCATTACCGTTAATGAGAGTTGTTTGCGCGTGCACATCAGTCAGAGAAGATAGAAACCTTAATGTGCTGTTTAATTTGATGTTATGTTCATAAAAGTCTTTAGGTTTAACGAAAGCTCTTCATGGCTAGCATCTCATATAATAAAGTTGAATAAATCTTGCAAAATTCTTCCCTTTCCTTCTTAGCTGCTTAAGAGATACCCCATGGTGGTTTAGTGTGTAACACAATGCAAACATGCTGAGGAATTGGTCTCCTTTGGAGGCACAATCCATAGTCCCCACTCCCACCTTCTCCCTTTTTTGTCATAAAGACAAATAGGACAAAGAAAGAACAGTGCCTTTTGGGATTCATCTCACACTTCAGAATTCATGTAATTATCTAACAGGAAAACGATATGGCACAAACAATTCCTTCGTGTTCTGGCTGCATCTTTTGTGCTGTACCTAAAATGAGGAGATGTTCATTTGAAGCTCTCTTGTTCTAACATACACTTCAGGTGGTTTCCCATGTACCTGTTAAGTCTGCTTGAAGTGTTGACTCTTCAGTCCTTTAAGGAAATACAGTTGGTTTATGGGGTACTACAAGATGTTCATTTTGCTTCACATCCTTTGTAGGTATCTCAGCACTCAAATGTTTAATGCATTCTCTGCCGTTAAACTCTTTCTGATGTTTAGACAATCTCTGTATAACATTGCTCTTTGGGGGTTAAATCCATCACTCACCCTTATTACACAGTCATTTCTCTCTCTCTTCCAATCAGTCCTTGGATTGTACTTTCAGAACAAAACAAAATTTAAACTGCACAACACTATCATTATTCTACAGTCTCTTCCTTCAATGGGGAAATCCTATCCTGGGACATGATAGCTTTTCAGATGACTAGTAGATTATTTTTAATGCACTCTTCATTGGCAAGGTAGAGGTAACAAGCAATAAACAAGTGGTTTTGATTTTGGAACAATAGGGGGTAGAGGGTAACTCATTCAAGCGTTTATATTTAAGTATGACAAATAAATGTCCATTTCTGCTCAGTGAACTATTTTTAATTCTTGCTGCAGCTCTGAAAGCCATTATAAACATTGACAGGTTAATGAGCAGTCATTTATGGGGTTTAGAAGACTGTTACTTAGAAGGGAAATTAGTTGTCCAATTTTTTAAAAATGTGTTACTCTTAAAAAAATTGTAGCCTGCCAGTTACTTTGTACAAAATTAAGGTGATGTAGGAATGCCAGCCTCCAGGTGAGACCTGAGGATCTACTGGAATTATAGCTGATCTCCAGACTACAGAGATCAGTTCCACTGGAGAAAATGAATGCTTTGGAGAGTGGACTCCATGGCATTGTACCCCAGTGAGGTCGCTGTCCTTCCCAGGAGTTTCCCAATCTGGATCTGGCAACCCTACCACCCCAATCCCCCGCTGGTGGCCGGGGGGAACCTGGCAATCCTAAAGCGATGTCTAGTTGCTCTACTTACATATTTCATTTATCAGAATGGAACTATTTCTCAGAGCTCCATGACCAGGAGAGACAATAGGTAATAAGTTGGAAATTGGTTTAAACAAGAGATATGCAAAATGTCCCTTGTTATGATACTGGACAAAGATAAGAAGATAATGACCCAACTCTGACCCTATTGATATCTCTTGCAGTGATCTTATTGATTTCAGTTCACTCATAATAGTTACAAAACTCATTATCTTCTAGGGATCACTGTGTATAAATAATTAAACAAATTTGACACAACCCACTTTCTGTCATAATTAATGGTGTGAGTTGTAACCCAAAAACACTTGCTGAAATTATGACTGAACTGAACAGTGGACACTTTTCATGAACCTTTTTGGCAGTGTTGAAAAAAGCTACACAATTTTCTAAGGATTTTGATGGACTGCATTAAAAGAGACTTTGCCCACTGAGAGTAACGGCAGAATTTCGGAAGCCTGCACTGTTTGCTGTCATGAACATTAGCCAGATATGATTGGGTACATATGATTTGCAGTGCAATACCCCCCAGGCATCACTTATGACAAAAATATTCACGTTCTTCAAGCTTCTACTATGCCATTGTTTTCCTGATCTGCTCCATATTTTGTTCTTGATTTAAATAGTTTATTTTTAAATTAACAAACACAGGATATGGGATGGACAGGTGTGGTGTAGTGGTTAGATTGTCAAATTAGGGTCTGTGAGACCCAGGTTCAAATCTCCATTCTGTCAGGAGTGCCTTGGGCCAGTCACACACTCTCTACCTAACCTACCTCACAGTATTGTCGTGAGGATAAAATGGAGACAGGAGAGTGATTTAAGCCACTTTGGAGACAGGTGGGGTATAAATGAAATAAATAAACACTTCCCTTAGTCCAATTAATTAAGAAAAATGGAGCAAATCAGCAGTAGATCTGGAAAACAATGACAGTGAAAAGTTGAACCTTTTCATCAACAGGGTATTTTATTGAAAATATTTCAGGATTTCCACATTCCCCAAAGCTGTATTTTAGCATTCAAAATGGGTGACCATTTGATGCAACCCTGATTGTACTATAGTTCTTTGGATGCCATTCCAATAACATTTGAAAGGAATGGATTAACTGGGCAAGTTGATAAACACACTAATTTTGCATATGTGGTCCTGCAGGGTGGAGCAATGGTGGCATGGCAAGTGCTGCTGTCAGCCCATTCATGAGACCATTTTCCTTCAACTGTTACAGAAATAGCACCGAAAACAGCCATGCAGAGGCAGCTACCATATTACTCAAGTAATTTATGAATCGTGAAACATGGGAAGAACACATGATTGTATGAGATGGGGTTTTTGTTGTTGTTGTTGTTCAGTCGCACAGTTGAGTCCCATGGACCACATCACTCCAGGCCCTCCTGTCTTCCGTTCTGCTCCGGAGTTTGTTTAATTTCATGTTCGTTGCCTCGACAATGCTGTCTAACCATTTCATCCTTTGCCATCCCCTTCTTCTTCAATCTTTCCCAGCATCAGGGTCTTCTCCAGTGAGTGCTCCCTTCTCATTTGGTGGCCAAAGTATTTGAGCTTCAGCTTCAGTATCTGGCCTTCCAGGGAACAGTCAGGGTTGATTTCTTTTAGGATTGACTGATTTTTATTTATTTATTTATCTAATCATATTTATATCCCACCCTCCCCTTGACAGGCTCAGGCTGGCTCACATTTACCGACACAATGTGACCGGTCAGCATAAAACATTTAAAAACACTTAAAGTGCTCGCAGTTGACATTCTTCAGTAGATTAAGGTGGCGTACTATTACATGTAGTCTTGCAGTCCCAGCTCAGCAGTATATCGGTCTCCTGTGACACTGTGGCTCGATCTCAGTTCAGGGCCATCCCACCACCGTGGATGTTAGTGAAGGTAATAGTTGGTGGTAGTGGTGGGCGGCTCCTAGTTGGAAGCCTGGTGGAAGAGCTCCATCTTGCAGGACCTGCAGAACTGTACAAGGTCCTGCAGGGCCCTCATCTCCTCTGGGAGCTCATTCCACCAGTGAGGAGCCACCACTGAAAAGGCCCTGGCCCTAGTAGCGGTGAGCCTGGCATCCTTAGGGCCTGGAATACTTAGTTGATATTGTGACCCTGACCATAGTGCTCTCTGAATAATGTATGGGGAAAGGCGGTCCCTCAGGTATGTCGGACCCTCGCCATATAGGGCTTTAAAAGTAAGTACCAGCACCTTGAAGCGAATTTGGTATGCTATTGGCAAGCCAGTGCAGTGCCTTCAGCGCAGGCCGGATGTGCTCCCATCTAGGGAGGCCCATCAAAAGCCTGGCTGCGGCATTCTGCACTAGCTGCAGCTTCCAGATCTCCGACAAGGGCAGCCCCATGTAGAGAGCATTACTGTAGTCTAATCTCGAGGTGACCATCACATGGATCACTGTAGCCAGGTAGTCGCGGTTGAGGAAGGGGACCAACTGCCATATCAGCAGGAGATGGTAAAAGGTCAACTTGGCAGTGGCTGCCACCTGGGCCTCCATTGTTAAGGAGGGATCCAGGAGCACTCCCAAACCCCTAACCTCCAGCACTG